GGAAAACATATTATCGCATTTCGGAGAGAAAAAAGTGGTTTTTTGTCACACTGTGTATTGTGTCTTTATCTTTATGGCTTTTTACAAAAATATAATATGTGTTGTACATTTTACTTCACTCTTATCTGTTATGCAGTTGGAGATGTATTAATTTGTAATGTGAACTTATACATTTACGAATTTCGGAAAATAACGAATGTTGTAACTTATTAAAAAAAATTAAAAAAAATGCATTAATATATGTATTTACAAAGTATCTGTGTCAATGCGTTTAACATCGGAGAACTTGAGGAATTCGAGAACCGATTAAATGTCTCATTTAAAAATCTAGTTTCGATTGCGAAGTGTTATTTAAATCGTTGAAAAACGGCCTCTTACGCGGAGGTGTTATGTTTTTCGCTGTAAAGAGGAGATTCGTACTTTTATTGCGTACACATCTTGCAACGGCGAGATGGAACAGTATTACAATAAAAAACTTTAGTCTTCTCTGTGTTAATCTTAAAAAAAATTTCATTAATTACATTTGCAGAGAGCGATAGGAAAACATTTGAAAGACTGTTAGATACTAATGTCCTCGCAGTTGCCGTGTGTATGAACAAAGCAGTGTGCTTGATGCGTAAACGAAATATCGAAGGGCATATTTTTAATATTATCAGGTATTGCTGATTTGTTAATAACAGTTGAATAATGTATCAATTCTAACTGGAATCGGGCTCATAATTTGTTTTCGTAAGACTTATAACTTTACGCAAAATTTTTACAGCTTCTTGCTAGTTGTAAGATTTACGAGAAATCGTAGATATTTACAAATAATCATACCTTACGCAAAGAATCACAATTCCAGTCATAAGTGTTTACCAATTAAGTTTTTTGAGAACAAGGACATTTACGATTCTATTTAGAATTGAACCATAAATCGCAACTAAATAAGTTTTTGAAAAATCAACATTTTTTTAATTTTCCGTAAGCTGAAAGACAAGAACAAGACAAATAATTATGAAAAATCTTTTTGAAAATTTTATGATAACATTAATTTACTTTGTAGTACATGTTTTTAATAGTAATATTTTTTATGTGCAGCGTTGCGGGGCATTATTTAATACCGAGTGTGGGTCCCTTGAATGTGTATTCTGCTAGTAAACATGCAGCACTTGCTCTAACTCAGACCGTACGACTCGAAATAGCGGAAATTAAAGCTCCTATTCGAGTTACCGTAAGATACACTTTGAGCTTTCATTTTGTGTTACTTATTTTATTTTTCAATGTTATGTAAATGATAACTTTTATAATTATCAAGAAACACATTAATCATTATAATAATTGCAATAACATTAGAAAACAAAAACTGCGTATACGTTTCTAAGAATAGACATTTTATGATAATAAGATATTCATATAAGTGAATAGATGTAAAGAATTGTCTATCTATTGAAGTAATATTAGATGTTATCGAAATATTATAATTTATATTATTTTTATATACAAAATGTTACCAGGTACGCTTCTTTTTATCAATGTAGATAGTTATTTTGGATTCTTACTTGTTCGATTTTTTTTTAGAGCATTAGTCCCGGTATTGTACAAACAAACATCTTTGAACATTCGGATACAATGAGAGACTTTATCGAGAAAGTACCAACGCTTCAACCGTCAGACATAGCGGATGCGGTCATCTATGCTCTTGGAACACGACCGGAAGTTCAGGTTCTAATGCATGTTAATGTATTTTTTTCCTAATAAATATAGGTAAATCTTACATGTTGTTTAATTGCAGATTACGGAGTTTACCATCCAGCCAACCGGAGAGTCTTTCTGAAGAGTCTTCAGTAAAATACCCGTTTTGTTAATGCTTTAACAGTTTTACAAAAAACAATTTTACGCTAATAATAAAGTAAGAAACTCATGAAGAGTCTCTAAGCTTTTATGTTGCTTTGCATTTTTTGTATGAATATAAAATTTGTTACTCCCTATCATAATATTGTCTACGTTTTACTTAATAATTTTGCTAATATAATATTTTTAATGTACGTCCATTTATAACTAAATGGAAATACAAATAAATAATCCAATAAAATTTATAGAGATAAGTAAATAAATATATATATATGTTTATCTTTGTCTTTTATAATAATACATGGAAAATGATACTGAAAATATTTTGCATGTATTTTAAAATGCAAGAATTTATATTAGAAATTTATAGTCAATATATTGCCAGTAGATAAATATCAACTATCAGATATCACTATCGTTTATCTCGCACGATGCCTTATACGTGTATGTGCATAGATATTGTTTTAAAAAGATAGGTACTCGGAATTCAGATTTGTGACAAATTTTGCGAAGCATCGTTACAGGTTTTATGTTTGTGTAATCATTATATTCAAATTCCGACGAAGTGGTTGCTACTGGACGAAATGGCCAATAGTTCCAGATTAGCGAATGTTCGCTAATATTAGCTTATAGAGAACTATTATACATATGTGTATATCTACTCGTTTATGTAATTACGAGGTCTTCGAGATCAAAGATGCCCTGCTGGCGAAAGAATGATTTTGCTCAATTTAAAATCGTTATACCTACAACCTACACATTAACGCACCATATCAGCAATGTGTGACATTGAACTGATACGCAACGTTGATATTATTCGATATGCGGTTATGCAACAAGTCTGTACGCGTCTTTATGTTTTGTAAGTTTGCAATTGCAATTTGCCATTGGCAGTCGCCAGTCTGTATCTGTAGAGTGTCTGATATTTAATTTGGTACATCAGACATTTTTTCTATTCCTATCACGAATTTATCCCGGAATACAGCAATTTTCACTGTGCATTTCACATCAGTTCTGTTGACGGTTGGAAATAGAAGATACGCAAGTAAGTATACCTATACTTTAGCATTATCAATCGAAATGCCATTTTCACAAATTCACGATTGAATTAAATGTTGCTGCGATTTAATGCTTATGAATATGCTTTTTACAAAATTGATATTATTTTCGGCTTGATAGTTATTAATATTGTAAGAAAATTGGCATAATGAGGCCATCTGCCTGCGAAAATGTATAAAAGAGTCGATGCGCCCAGCCCGATCTAGAGGGCGAGATCGATTCGGCGTTCTGCGAGCAATATATATAATACCATTTTCTGGAGCGCGGAGCGAGAGAGATTTTCCGAAGCTCAGTATAATAATAATAGAGATATTCGGAGTAGTGCGCAAACGAGTCATTTTCAGACGTTACGGACTTAGCCGCCGGAGCAATCGAATTGCCGAAATACGGACTTAGCCGTCGGAGTATTCACAGTGTCATATTTGGACATAGCCGCAATCACGCATTTTACGCGTGAAAACATAGTTGCGAGGCGCGCCAACTTCGTGCGCGAAGTGCCTATTATCGATTATCTAGAGCCGCTCTCCATTTTTGTGTATTTGTGAATCAAGTGATTTAACTGAATAATAAGCAGTTAAATAAAAACGAATTCTACTCTTTGTAAGCTACCGGATTTACATCGCTTTTTCTGACGCATCCCTCTAATATAATAATATATTTCTCTAATTATTATATTATAGATTGACAATCGCGGGCTGCGTTGTACTTGGAGTCAGATAATTATGATTCGTTGGCGTAGTAAAATCGCAGTCGTTACCGGCGCTGGATCCGGCATCGGCGAAGCAATTACACGTGCTCTTTTGCAAAACGGAGTGAACGTGGTTGCCCTGGATATCCAGAAAGAAAGATTAGCAAAACTCGATGCGGAATGTAAGCAGGAAGGTTCACGAACCTTCGGCTCATTACATACTATATGCTGTGATGTAAATTGCGAGAACGATATTGATGCAGCATTCTTGCATATCGAGACGTTAGGTGGTGTGGATATTATGGTCAACAATGCTGGCATTATCGATACTTCACGAATAATAGGTATGATGATTGATATCACGTATTTATACATAATATTACAAATAACATATTTTTAAGGGATTAAAAGGATTAAAGGATCTAAATAATTATTATTTGTATGTTTATTCTCTTATCGATAATAAGTCTTTTTCTCTATAGTGAATTACAAAAATATACTATGTGCTGTACATTTTATCTCAATGTTATGCAATTGGTAATATTTTAATTTGAAATTGTGAATTTATATGTTTACAAAATTGTTTTGAAAAATGACGATACGATAATGTTGTAATCCATTTAAAGAATACGTTAATATTCACCAACTAAGTATTTATGTCAACGCGTTTGATCTCGGAGTACTTGAAGAATTCGAGAACCGATTAAATCATTTAAAAATCTAATGTCGATTGTGAAGTGCTATTAAGTTTGTTCAAAAACACAGCGGTCTTTTACGCGAAGCATGTGTTTCTTGTGGGAAGATGAAGATTTTTAGTTTCGCTGCGCAAAATATCTTGCAATGGCGAGATGAAATAATTTATTAAATTAAAAGGTTTTGGTCTTCTTTTCGTTCTTAAAAAAATAATTTATAAATTACATTTACAGACAGCGACAGGAAAACATTTGAAAGAATGTTAGATACTAATGTCCTCGCAGTCGCCGTGTGTACGAACAAAGCAGTGCATTCGATGCGCAAACGAAACGGCGAAGGACATATTTTTAGTATTACCAGGTAATGTTGATTTGTATTAACAATAATTGAATAAATCATAGATCTTTAAAATAGGTATCCGACATTTTCTGGGTTTTCCGTAAACCATAAGATTCAAGATTCGAAAAATTTTTTGGAAAAATTTATAATAATGTTAAGTTACTGGGCAATATATATATTTTTAATATTGATTTTTGATATACAGCGTTTTGAGCCATTCTTTAGTACCGGCTAGTGTAGGAGGGAATTTATATGCTGCTAGTAAACATGCATCTCTTGCTCTAACTCATACAGTACGACGAGAACTAGCAGAAATTAAGGCTCCTATCCGAGTTACCGTAAGATACATATTTTGAGTTTTTACTTTTTGTTGTTTTTTAGTTAATAAGAAACGCAATTATTATTATTAAACATTACAGTATCAATATATTAAAACTTTAAATTCACAAGTAACGCATTAATCATTGTAATATCAATATATTAATGATAAAAACTTTTCTGTAATAAAGAAGAGAATAAAAACATTGCAGATACGTTTCTAATAATAAACATTTTGTGATAATTTATTCATATATGTGATCAGACGTAAACAGTTACCGTTGCTTATGTATATCGGAATAATGTTAGATGTTGCAGTATCATAAAATTTTTAATATTATTTTTACATATGAAATAATACCATCAGTTATGCTTCTTTTTATCAATGTAGATTACTATAGATTCTTACTTGTTCGATTTTTTTCAGAGCATTAGTCCTGGTACTGTAAAAACGAACATCCTTGAACATTCGAATACAATGAGAAACTTCTTCGAGAAAGCACAGTTAATTCTTCAACCGTCAGACATAGCTAATGCGGTCATCTATGCTCTTGGAACGCGACCGGAAGTTCAGGTTCAAACTCTTGTTGACGTACTTGCTTCCTAATAAATATAGGAAAATTATTTTGCATATTACTTAATTGCAGATTACGCAGCTTATCATCCAGCCCACTGGGGAGTCTATATATTGAGAATTGCAAGGCAGTAATCGTCTTTGAATTTTTGTTTATTTCAACTGTTAATTTTAATACGCAAATGCTTACTGAAAAAAAGTAATGTCAGTTGAAATATATAGTAATATCTGAAGAGCAAGATTGTAAACAGTATTGTTTGAAAGAATAAAAAATTACTGATAAGTTTTATTATTCAACTCTCTAAATTTTTTGGAGTGACTTTTCACTCTTTTGGAGTGAATCTCACTCCAAAAGAATGAAAATTTTGCCACTCAAGTGGCCGAGTGGCAGTATTTTCTATTTTTTGGAGTGAGATTCACTCCAGAAAATTTAGAGAGAACCATGTATGCTTCTGTAATCATTTCGAATAATTATAATTACTTGTTTCAGTATTTGTTCTATTGTACAAGCTTAGAGATACAAGATCAATAGTTCCTGTAAACTGCAGTAACTTGCATTATCGTAAGCATCCGATTAGTTCAGCTTTAGCAAATTAAATCATTCCGGAATTTTAGATTTGATTCTTGTTGTTTTAAATGCATCTTCAAAAATTGTAAAACATTACATTGAAATTAATAAAATAGTGTGTATGAAGAACAATGAATATATATCGAAGTAATTGAACTATATAAATATATCAGAAAAAATAAGAATTTTTTAAAAATAAAAAAAATAGTATTTTGTTAAAATATTATCCCAAAATTATTACTGGTAATCTTTAATGATTATGAAATGATACAATACTTCTCCAATACTGGATTAGAAATCAAGTTTTAACAATCATACTGTATTTGTTGTTATATCCGTAATAGTTATTGCAAAATCTACCGATTACTGGAAGAATATTTACTGTAGTAGTAAGTAATGATTACTGTAAGAAAGATTAAATGTTGAGAGCAAAAGCAATTAATTTTTCCTGATTTTTAGATATAATCGAAATTGAGATTTGTGATAAATTTCGCGAAGCAACGTTACCGACAATATATTCACGTGTAATCATTGTATTCCAATTTCGATGAAGTGATGCTACTAAACGAAAGGGTTACAGATTAGCGAATATTCGCCAACATTGGCTTATGTAGAGAGAACTATTATACACAGCATGCATTCAAAAAATTCCGGAACTGAATTTTTTTCGGATGCACTCATAGCGCCATTTATATCTCAATTGTGAGACTAATTAGTATAAAGCTTTGTAAGTCTTCCACATTTTTTGCCTTGCCATCGAGTAAATTGTTCATGTGTAGTGTATATTTCAAACTTGTAAAATTTATAGGTTTGCTACGTTATACTTAATCGACTCCATATCCTCAAAACTGGTCCCTTTACCTGATCCCTTTAACTGATCTCTACTTTCAGTTTTGAAAAGAGGAAAAAGTCTGCTGAGGCTAGATTCGGCGAGTAGGACAGATGGTTAATAACTGCGACTGATTTTTGTGTCATACAGTCAATGAAAAATCTACAATTTTTTTCTATTTATTTCTTTGTGTGTCATTCAAACATCTTACTATGACTTAAACAGTCGTAACTTCTCCGTAAACTTCTCCGTATGCATTTTGCATTATTACAAGCGTTTCCAATACGCTTTTTTTTATATTTAAAACAAAATTTTACCGCGCCTTTTTGCTCCATGTCGAAATTCGTGACAAGTCAATAAATCTTGCAAGTCAGTGTTTCGTGCTATTGAATTGACATGCAACGCTGATATTATACAATACGCGTTACGTAACAAGCCAATACCGGTGTTTATGTTGTATAAGTATAGAATTTGGCAGTCGCCAGTCCGTATCTGTTGTCTTTGATAATCTGTTACATCAAACATTTTTTCTATACTTATCACGAATCCCGGAATATAGCGGTTTTCAGAGTGCATTTCATAACACATCAGTTCTGTTGGCGGTTGCGAATAGAAGATACGCAAGTAAGTAATATACTTTAGCATTGTCAATCGAACCGCCATTTCCACAAATTTACGATTGAATTAAATGTTGCTGAGATTGAATGCTCATGAATATGCTTTTTACAAGATTGATTTTTCGGCTTAGTAATTATTAGTGACAATCGCGGGCTGTGTTGTACTTGCAGGCAGACAATTATGATTCGTTGGCGTGGTAAAATCGCAGTCGTTACCGGCGCTGGATCCGGTATCGGTGAAGCAATTACACGTGGTCTTCTGCAAAACGGAGTGAACGTGGTTGCTCTGGACATCCAGAAAGAAAGATTAGCAAAACTCGATGCAGAATGTAAGCAGGAAGATTCTCAAAACTTGGGCACGTTACATACTATATGCTGCGATGTAAATTGCGAGAAAGAAATCGATACAGCATTCACGCATATCGAAACGTTAGGTGGTGTCGACATTATGCTCAACAATGCTGGCGTTATCGATAGTTCACGAATAATAGGTACGATGATTGACATCACGTATTTATACAAAATATTACAAATAACAAATTTTTAAAGGATTACCTAAATAATTATTATTTGTATACTCTCTTATCGATAATGACTCTTTCTGTGGCGAATTACAAAAATATACTATGTGTTGTACATTTTATCTCAATGTTATGCAATTGAAGATATATTAATTTGAAATTGTAAACTTATATGTTTACAAAATTATTTTGGAAAATAACGATACGATAATGTTATAATCCAATTGAAGAATTGCATTAATATGCACCTACAAAGTATTTGTGTCAACGCGTTTAATCTCGGAGTACTTGAAGAATTCGAGGACCGATTAAATCTCATTTAAAAATCTAATGTCGATTGCGAAATGCTATTAAGTTTGTTCAAAAACATAGCGGCTTTTTACGCGAAGGATATTGTATTTCTTGTTGAAAGGAAATTTTTAGTTTTACCGCGTAAAATCTCACAATGGCGAGTTAGGACGTTATTATAATGAAAGACTTTGGTCTTTTCTGTGTTGATTCCTTAAAAAAAGAATGTCATAAATTACATTTGCAGATAGCGAGAGGAAGACATTTGAAAGACTGTTAAATACTAATGTCCTCACTGTCGCCGTGTGTACGAACAAAGCAGTGCATTCAATGCGCAAACGAAACGTCGAAGGGCATATTTTTAGTATTACCGGGTAATGTTGATTTATATTAACAATAGTTAAAGAAGTCGCATTAAATCTTTAAAATAAGTAAGTTTCCGAAACATTTTCTGGATTTTCGGTAAATCGTAAGATTCAAGATTACGAAAAATCTTTTTGAAAAGTTTGTGGTAATGTGAATTTATTGCGCAATGTATTTTTAATATTGATATTTTTGATTTATTCCGCGTGTATTTTTAATATTGATATTTTTGATATACAGCGTTGCGAGCCATTCTTTAATGCCGGCTAGTGTGGGAGTGAATTTGTATGCTACCAGTAAACATGCAGCTCTTGTTCTATCTCATACAGTACGACAAGAAATAGCAGAAATTAAAGCTCCTATTCGAGTTACCGTAAGATACATTTTAAGTTTTTATTTTTTGTTTTTAATATTATGTAAACGATAACTTTTAATTAATAAGATATGTATTAATTATTATAATATTGCAATATTATAATAATTTAATATAATATATATGTATATTAAAACTGTAAATTAATAAGAAAAACACTGTAAATACGTTTCTATAATAGACATTTTGTGGCAATATAACATTTGTACATATGATTCATCAGACAGTTAATTAAACAAAGTTAAATAATCAGTTACGGTTGCTTATCTATATCGGAATATTGTTAGATGTTTTCCTAGTATCGTAAAATTTATACTATTATTTTTACATATGAAATATTACCATCAGGTATGCTTCTTTTTATCAATGCAAGTAGTTATTATAGATACTTACTTGGCCGGTTTTTTAGACCATTAGTCTTGGTTGTGTAAAAACGAACTTGTTTGAACGTTCGGATACTATGAAAGACTTTTATGAGAAACTATCAACACTTCAACCGTCAGATATAGCGAATGCGGTCATTTATGCTCTTGGATTGCGATCGGAAGTTCAGGTTCAAACGCTTGTTAACGTAATTGCTCCCTAATAAATATAGAAAATTATTTTATGTTTTACTTAATGGCAGATTACGCAGCTTACCATTCAGCCCACCGGGGAATCTCACCACTGAAAATTGTAAGACAGTAATTGTCTTTGAATTTTCATTTATTCCAACTGTTAAACTTAATATACGCAAATGCTTACTAAGTAAATGTAATGTCAGTTGAAACATATGTATAGTAATATCTAAAATGATAGTAAACGGCATTGTCTGAAAAAATAAAAAATTACTAAGAAGTTTCATTATTCAATCATGAGATTTAGTTACTATAAATTACAATAATTTTCATTATGTCGCAAGCATTAACTCAACATTAGTATTAGGCTACTTCGGAATCTTAGGTTTGAATCTCGTAGTTTCAAATGTGTTTTCAGAAATTGTAGAACATTGCGTAATTGAAATTAATAAAATAGAATACATGAAAAACAATGCATACAGATTAAATTTTAAAAATATCAGAAAAAATAAAAAATTCTTTTTTTTAATATTGCACCGAAATTGTTATTGGTCTTTAATGATTATGAAACAATACAATGCTAATCCAGTACTGGATTAGAAATATTTAGAATGTTTACTGTAATAGTAAGTAATTTATACTGTAAAAAAATTGAAAATTGAGAGCAAACAAAAATGTAATTAATCATTCCTGTTTTCTTACTCTCATTATATGAAGAATATCTTCAGTGTGATGATGTTCTTTAATGCATTTACAATTTTACGCTAGTAATAAGATAAGAAACTTGGGACTCGTAAAGATATTATAAACTTTCATGTTGCTTTGCATTTTTTATATAAATATAAAATTTTTACATCAAGTTGTTCTCTATCGTAATACTGCCTACGTTTCATTTAATATTTTCCCTAATATAATCTCTTTTAACGTACCCATTTTTAGTTAAATAGAGATAAAAATAAATATTCAAATAAAATCTTAGATAAGGAATTTGTACCTATATATCTTTGTGTTTTATAATACATCTCTTTATGTGTTTCAATAATACATAAAAAATGACTGAAATAAACTGTAAAAATATTTTTCATGCATTTTACAATGCAAGAATGCATATTCGAAATTTATGATCAATATATTGTCAGGAAATAAATACCGACTATCAGATATCGCTACCATTTATCTCGCACGATGCCTTATTTATATATACATGTACTTATATACACATATCGCTCTCTAAAAGGATATATTCAAAATTCAGATTTGTGACAAATTCCGCTTATCGCGAAGCAATGTTATCGGCAATATGTTCGCGTGTAATCGTTGCATTCAAATTTCGACGAAGTGGCTGCTACACACACCCAGCGGTTACATCCTGCTTGGCGCATGACAAATACAGCGGTGTCATTTGGCATTTATACGTGAACAATCGAAATGCGCGTTTCCTATACACAAATGCGCGTCATCCATATCTACGTTGCGCATCCGTGTGCGTGCTTCTAAACATGAACTTCCGACAATAGCGGCTCACACTGTACCGAGCTCGACTGTCAACCAGGAATGCATTCGAGTGCGAGCGATAGTTAAGGTGTCAAACAAGTTCCGTCATGCTTCGAGCAGTTCGAGGGAATCGCGTCGCGTTATCAGGGAAATCGATTTTCCCGGCATGCATCGGGTGTCGGGTCCTGTCAAAATCTAAGTGTGTACGCCTCGTATTCTAGCTCTGCGATTAGATCTCGTTTCTCGTCGCGTTATATACTGAGATACTATACGTTCAATTCATCGCTCATGAATTTCGAAGGCTGCATATGATGTACATACAATTCAATCGAGATTTTTCTCCTCTATACAGCCGCAATAGAATATAATATTATAATGATTATTAAACACAAGTAGAACTATATGTATGCATATATATACATATATATATATATATATATACATATTGCTATATTTAATACTGTTATATATTGATTATATTCCTTCTAAACACTTGTCTCAAAAAATAAATTGCAGGCAGCTGTAAGTTATGTTAGTCGCCCGCTATTACTTTACTTGCTATACAGTACAATTAATAACGCGAAGACGTGCAAAGAATCCGTCGCTTTTATTCCTCACTTTTAGGTGCTCTTAGCTGTTACATTAAGGAAAGGCGGGGGTATATAAGAAGCAAGATGTAAAACGCGGAAGAGCGGCAGAGTGATGATCGATAAAGACGTACTCGGTGCTTCATGGGGGCTGTCTGTATGGACGGGGGCCGGCATTTAGGAATTTATATTAAAATATGTAAATCTATCGGCGCGGGCATATTTGAAAACAGATAAATTATGCCGGCCGTGTATTGCGTTCCCGCGGTAAAATATCGACAGTGCGGAGGTGCGGGAAGGGATTGAGGCTAACGGGCGGAAACGGAGTTCCTCGCATAACGGCACGTTCTGTCGACCAGTAGAAATGCGATTTATGACGATCATTGTGTAACGATCATAAATTATCTCTTTATTTACGCGGAACGGCAGCGGCGTCCGCGCCATTGTTTTTCCGTGCCTTTCGCGCCTCTTCCCCAAATAATAACACCTGATGCTTCCAAATTCTGTCGCTTTGTTTAACCCGTTTACATTTCACCAGCAACGAGTTTATCTCGCAAGTTAGCACTTGTCGGGCAGTTGTCTGCGCGCACTGTAAATGAGAAATTAAGTATTTCAAGTTAAGCTGATGTTCTAATCGATATAATTGTAGATTTAAAATATTTTGCTGCAATAAGCAACTCAATAAGCTTGTAAATTGGAATTAATAGCAATTTGGCCAGCAAACATTCATATCATTGTATATTGGTTGTTAATAATTCCTTCAAAATTGAAACTAATCTCGCAAATGCCTGAATTTACCAGAGCCCCACCAAATGTTGAGGAACAAACATCCCGATTTAACTTCCTTAAATGCGTTCGTAACTGTTTCTGACAGGGAACAACTTCTCTTCCTTGACTCGTATGCTAACAGTTGTTTGACCGTGTTTCTCTAGTTCTCGCATTTGAATTAGTCTCAGAGTATATCTTTGGTAAATTTAAACAATTGACGAATACGTTTAACTCTTTGAGAATATATTGTATGTATCATTTCCTATCTCTTTATTTGTTGATTTGAGATCCGAAAAATGACTCTACTGCACAGCTGTCGAATCTGCCTTTTTTTTATTGCGACATTATCATAAGTTTTAAAAATCAAAAATAAATGAAACAGATAGAAAAATTGAAATACAATAAGAAATTATATGTACGTAGTTTTATGCAATATATTTATATTTATGTTCTTTTTTAAGAAACGAAAGGAGAAAAATATTGAATTAATTTTGTTGTTAATAATTTAAAAAAAAACTCTCTTTGGTCTTTATATATGTGCAAATAAAAGAAATACAGTTTTCTTCGAAATTGGAGCGCGACATGACGTGCTGCGATTGAGAATTATAGAAAAACGATTTCAACGCGTCAAAAGTTTCGCGGCGTTTCGACTTATGTCATTAAAGCGAATATGCGAAGCGGGGAGCGAAACGTGGCAGCTGAATACAGCGACGACGAGGAGTCAGCCGGGTTCGCTAAGGGTTCGCTCGGGAGAGGCTCGGGGTGGTCGGATAGGTTCGTTAGCGGAACACTGGCAGTGCAAACATGCCCGCTTAAACCGGCTGCGTACGTGCGCCGATGCGGTGTCAGATTTGAAGTGGTTCGCGGTGACGGCGTGCACGTGACGCGTTGGAACGAAACGCGAACTGCGCGCCTTCGCCGACGACGACGGGGAGGACGGCCGTTCGGTATTGGCCTGTGCCGCGGTACCGCGCACGTTAGCCTGAATATCGAGCGAGCTTGTCTGTTGACTTATTAAAAGCCGACTGAAATTGGAGCGAAGGCGGAAAATTCGATTTTCGGGATTTCGGCCGATTTCCGCGTTCATCGGAGTGGTGCGGTGACCTCAATTATTCTGCCACGAATGAAAGCTATTTTCCCGGAGCAACTATATTGCGCGGTTTCCGAAGCGTATCCGAACATATTTCTGATAGGCGATGGCAAAATTTTCGTGTTGGTGTCACTACAACAAGATTTTAAGATTATTGCGCAAGAAAGACAATAAGAAGTCACAGCTACGTATATAGCAAATTAAACGTGCTGTTTTTTTTTCTTAATGTCGAAAAATTGGATATAATATTATTCAAAATAATCATTATAATTTCTAACAAATTTTAAAACATAGCTTTTTAATGAATCTAATAAATAATTGTTCTTTAATTTATCGCAAGATTCAAGCAGCAATTTTCTTATTCGTGTTTTTAAATAAAGTTTCAAATAAAGTAAGATATTTAGTAAAATATGAAAATGACTTTGATATTTTCTCAATTATTCTGTAATTTCTGAAAAGCTTAATTTTCAAGCAGTAATAACGCAGTAATAACGGTTACACAAGAAAGATTAAATTAAGAACACCCATGTCTTCTTCTCTTAATCGTCTTTTTCTACCAAGAAAGTTCTCTTTTATGCACGAGCTAACGTATACAACATGACACGTATGTAGCTAGCTAGAACGTCGCAGCTGCAGTCACTAGAGCGCGTATTCTTGTTCGGCGACCGGCTTAGTATATACAAGCCTAAACCGTGCACGGGTTATCTCGCGCTCCGACATCCTCCAGCGTCTACGCTTCTTCCTTACCGTTGTCGCTGCTACCGCTGTCTCACTCCTTTTCGCTTAATCCGCAGTTGCGAAGCGGAGAAGTTGCGGAATAGTTTCCTAGCTCTCTCGGCTCTCTCGCCAGGCGAATGAATTTAACCGTTCCCGCGCGATACACGCGCGACACGTGCCCAATTCGATGCGATTCGCGCGCGCGTTGTCGACGCGCGATACCGAGGCGTATAGAACGTGGCGTAGGGCGATTGGTATAATATGGAATAATAAGTCGACGAGGAATAAGGACGAAGGATGGCCCGTGAAGGAGGGTTAGCAACCCGCGCTCGCGGTAGGACCTTGATTTTCCATCCTGTATTACAAGGGCAGCATCTCGCAGAATGAATATTACGCACGGTGGTCTTGTCGAGGTGCGCGGGAATCTTTCGCTCCTCCGTTATAAATCCACTCGTTTCATCCGTCCGCATCTCGGCGACATT